GGCTGTATGGAAAACGAGCCGCGCTCATTCGAGATATCACTCCTACGTTCCACCGGTCATAGGCGCGAGGATCCTTCGCCTGCTATTTGCTGACTGGGGGTCTGGATTCCGAACATGCTCCTCCCTTCACCGAAGATGACCTCGGTATGTTACGATCTCTGATTGCTTTTTTAAGGGAGAAATCAACCGCGTGTCGTCTTGATTCATTGATTAATAGTATGCTTAGACCGAGAAGAGTGAGTTATTATCATTTTGGAGATCTCAAAACCCTCCTCAAGGTACATTTGAAAAGGTCCTGAACCGATATCATGTTGAAATGCTTATGACTTTGCAAAGGCGTGCATTTCCTATTATGGCACAATCATACTCTCACGGACCGCCACTGATTCAGAAGCTTTTTTGTCGCAGTGAAATTGCGTAGGTAAAATGGACTATTTCTTTCAGTCTCGCCTGGGCAATGTTTTATGAGGTAAAAGACCTATTGCTAAATTACCCAAGCATCAAGAAGAATGCAGAGATTGGTGTTCCACACGCCACACTCGCACTCCTTTCCCGTATTCACAGGACGCCATATTTGTGGGTGCTGTTTAAAGCGCATGCTCAGAACGAGCTCACATCAATAGGCTGCTAATACCGGCACTCTTGATGGTGCGGAATGCACGTTGCAGAAGAACTATGGAAGCTCGCCGTCAGCACGCGCTCAGCATTCGCGCACATAGCTGTGGCCACCAGTGAATACTCCCTATACAAGATTTGAAGCAAAAATCCATTATAGAGGGCTGACGAACGCGCGTGGAAGATACAATTTATTTTAGGCATTTGCTTTAGAGAAGTTACTATTGCTGAGGCCAGCACGTGCGACGCGTGGAACAGCAATCTAGAAAAAAAAAGACGAAGTGTTAGCATAGGATCAGAAGTGTCTCATCCAGCTCCACTAAAGCGATTTTTTTCGGTCCTACTTCGGCGCCACTTCTAGCGCCGAAGTTCACACGGAACATCGGAAGTTTCAAGGACCTCGCTAACCGCACTTTGCCGAAAACCGGGTAAGCGACCTTCGGCAAATACGGCTTCCAGCGATGAAGGAAGACCGCTGCTGCGGCCACCGGTACTGGGCCCAACAGCCGAATGTGAAATACTATTCACGCAGCCGAATCCCGGCGACATCGTGATTTTGCACCGAGGCGATGGAACAATCGCAACTGCAGTCGAATGCGGTTCATCGGTCAACCAAGCGGGTGCCTCGAACATGGAGACAGACGCCATAACACCGCTGAGCCTAACCAGCGACTGTGAAGCCCGAAGATTACGCGAATCTTCAGTAGCAAAAAAGCGTAAAGGGGAAGACTTGACTCAGGCAGACATGTTTCTCGACGCAAAAGGAGAAATAATGGACGACAAGGGTTGCAACGACGACGACGACTGCAACAATGGTGAGTGGGAAGTTCCGAACTACCACAAAAAGAAAGCTCAGCGCAAAAACAGGCCAAATCGACCCCAGCAGCAACAAGACGGACCGAGGTACACGGTCATCGTCAAGCCCACCACGGCCATGAAAATCACCAACGTGGACTCATGGCTTCTGTGGAGCACCTTCCGGAAGCTCTTAAAGTCGCCATGCGAATCCGACCAGTTAGGTTACACCGTCAATAACAGAAATAACTTCATCGCAATTACCGTGCAGACGCAACACCACGCAGAAGACCTTATGGCACTCAAAGAGCTGCCCACGGAGGACCCTAACAAGACGATCCAGGTCACAGTATACAGGTCAACAACCGGCAGTCAGCCACGAGGAATTATACACGGCGTTTCACCTGGCGACGCAGCACGAGGCATTGTTGACAATGCCATAGCGGACTACCATGACATTATTCATTCTCGACCCCTCGGCAAGAATGGGACGTATTTAATCACATTTGAAGGAAGGGGTATCCCGAGGAGCATCCGACTATTTGGAAAATACCATACTGTGTTTCCCTACAAACCAACTGCGGTCATCTGCCTACAGTGCCACGAACTAGGTCACATGACCACGGTATGCACAGGCAAGCAACGGTGCAAGTCGTGCGGCGAGATCCACCCGACCAACCAGCCATGCCAGGGCAAGTACTGCCCGAACTGCAGAAAGACAGGTCACACGGTATTCGAAGCAGAAGCGTGTCGGGCCCGGAACCGGGCGGACGACAAACTCCAGAAACGGGCGGCGGCCGGTCGACGTAACTATAACAGCGGAGTGGTTGCCGCTGCGAAGGGCAGGACCTCTGCCCGGGCGACATTCAAACCGGACGACTTCCCCTCCCTCCCAATCCAGAGGCTGCACCACCAACCAAAGCGCGATACAGAAACGTCGTACAGCCAAGTCCTAGCTCCGAAAGCTATGAACACGGACGTGTCCCATATCGGGCCGCCCACCAACATTAGCAGCAGAATGGCCGTGGAACTTGCTCAACTTAAGGAAAGTAGCCGCAAACTACTTGAGAAAATTCAACAACTGGAAGTAAAGTACGAGAAACAGCTCCGACAAGAACAAGAAGAGGCCCGCAAAGCCCAAGCCAAGACGAAGGCCGAATCCGACCGGAAACGTAGGCAAGAAGCAGAACACCAAATTCGAGTAGAACAGCAGAAAGCTGATGAAGCACGTCGACGTGCCCAGCGCTGCGCCGTCACCTACGAACAAGTCATTGAACGGAAAAGGAAGGAAGACGAAGCAGCAACTGCTAAGGCCACATCAGCACACGGCGCGCGCGCAAGTGCCCCAACACAACAGGATCGAAAAGAGCCCTTCCCGCCAAATGCACCTTTATCACAGGACAGCACACCGATATCGGGGTGCCTTCCAGGCTCGCCCCTCAGCGGCGAACATCTCCTACAACTCGTGGAGAGTAGACTTCAAAAATGGCAACAACAGCTCCAGCAACAGCTACAGCAACAGCAACAGGTCATGATGCAGCAGATGCAGCAACAACTGCAGCTGATGTTCACCCAGCCTGGACAAGGACCGGCAGCACCGGCCCAGTAACCCAGACATGGACCAACACCATAGACGAAATAAAAACGAGAAGACGTTTACAGCTCTCCAGTGGAACTGCCGGGGACTGCGGGGCAAGAAGTCTGAACTTAAATTACGACTCAATGAGCGGAAGACGCCCGTGGATGTCATCCTGCTCCAGGAAACGCACGAGGCAGAGATAAAGCTGACCGGGTATGTCAAGTACGACAAACCGAGCATCACGCTGACCGTTAAAGGCAAAACGAAAGTGCAACCGCAATCCGCAATCTTGGTTCGCAAGGACCTCTTGCCCCAACAGCAAGTGGACACAGGAGAGTGGTGTACCGACTCACAAGAAGTGGTGGCCGTTCTGGTGGAGAGCGAATGCGACGGCCCGATCCTGGTAGTGTCAGTGTACTACCGACCTAGGACATCAACGGCAAGGAAAACGAGATCAGAAATCGACCATGGCTGGATAGAGAAGCTAGTACGAGAGTACGGTAAGAAAAGGAAGCACACGATCCTGATCGGAGGGGACTTTAATGCCGAACATGAAGAATGGGGCTACGCCAAATCGTCGATCAGGGGTACTGAGCTGCTCCGCAGAGCCACCGGAACAGGACTGGTCCTAATCAACGAACAGGGTGCTAAGACACGGACCACGCCCAATATCAAACAGCAAGACACAACGCCCGACCTGACTTGGACCGACTCGCGTACTGCGAGAAAGACCGAATGGAAAGTTTTCGAAGATACGTGGGGCAGCGACCACCACCCCATAGAGACGTCGATACTTGGCAAAACAAAGCGACGCAAGAAAAAGAGAACGGTCAAGACCACAGTATGGGACGACTTCCGTGCCGCTCTAGAAGAGTCTACGGGTACAACCTTTGACGACCTGACAAAACGAATGAGGGAAGCGGCCAAGACTGCCACGGTCGAGACCCTAGTCGAAATAGGAGCGCCGATCCCGGACACCAGGCTACTGTCCCTCTGGCGCAAAAGAACAAACTACTTGCGACGCTACCGTCGCACTCGGAAAAAACGGGACATCCGAAAAGCAAACAGGTACGCAAAGGAGGCGCAACGACACGCCAACAACCTGTGCAGGGACGACTGGACCAAGTTGTGCGAAGGATTCAACGAACGAACCTCACTGAGACGTATGTGGGCCGTATGCAATGTGATGCTGGGCAAGAGCAAGGGGGGAAACACGGCACCAAACCTGGCTTTAGCGGAAAATAAGGAAGTCAAGCAAATATTAGATGAGATAGGGGACGTCTTTTTCCCACAGCCCGCTACCAGCCCAAACCCGGTAATCTACAACCATGAAGAATCGAAAAACGAGGAGTATGAAGCGGATTTTACACAGTGGGAAATGGAGGCAGCGATCGAAAAGGGCAACGAGCGAAGCGCGGCGGGGCCAGATGGGATCACTAATTCCATGCTCAAGAACCTCCCGGAGGCGATCAAGAGAGACCTGTTGAAATTAATCAATGCCCACTGGCGCGAGGGCACCATCCCAGATAGCTGGAAACTGTCCTGGGTGTGCCCCATCCCGAAACCAGGGAAGAAGCCCGACTGCGCGAGCAACATGCGCCCCATCTCGCTCACTTCTGTCCTGTGCAAACTGATGGAGCGCATGGTGCTTTCACGGATCGACTGGATAATCGAGCAGAAGAGGGAGCTGTTACACCCTGCTCAGACAGGATTCCGCAAAAATCTAGGAACACAGGACAGTCTAGTACTGATTCGAGAGTACTTAATGAACCGGCCGACGCAATGCCACCGCCAACTCCTGGTGGCAGTGGACATCAAGAAAGCCTTCGACACCCTGCCTCACACCACAGTCATCGACACGACTCGCAAGCTAGGGGTGCGAGGCAGGCCACTGAACTTCATCAAGTCTTTTCTAAGCGGACGCAAATACCTGGTGAAAACTGGCAAGCACAGGAGTAGTACAGAGAAATCCAACGAGATCGGCGTGCCGCAAGGATCAGTGTTGTCGCCGATGCTATTCAACCTGGCGATGGCGCCTCTCTTATGGAGACTCGCTGCCGTTCCGGACCTAGCATTCACGGTCTATGCGGACGACATCACTGTGTGGACGATGGGAAGTGACAGCGCGCCTCTTCCTGAGACGACGATCCAACGGGCCCTCGACGTGGTGAGCGATTTCTTGACAGAGAGCGGCCTTCGTCCATCGCCCGAGAAGACCAGATATATGGCCTTTGGGAAAGACTGGGACAAGGTCGACGCTGACCTGCGTTTTAACGGGCAGCAGATCCAAAAGGCGACAGAGCACTCCATCCTAGGAGTGAACATTCACTCGGGCGGCGACCCAACCATCTGGATTGAGCGAATGCGAACTACTTGGAAGAAAGGGCTCTCGATCGTACGACGACTAGCGACACGAGTCGGGGGTCTCGGAGAAAGGTTAGCGAGGACCGTAGTACAAGCCGCCCTGGTATCCAAAATATCCTACGGCCTTCGTTTCTACAAAATCAACACCAATCAACGGGCCAAACTGGAAACACTAATGAATGACGCGCGACGCTGCATCTCGGGCCTGCCGAAGTGTACGCGCCTGGAATTACTACACGAAGCCGTACCTATGCTCTCCTTGGAAGAGATCCAACGGCATCAGGAGTGGATGTATGCTGCCAAACTAACACATACCCGTCAGGGCAGGGCCATAGCAGAACTCATGCCCTCATGGAGCTCTCTGTGTGCAACGACAACTCCACCACCGATACCGGATCCCATCCCACCGTGGCAGAAGACAACGGTCACCCCAGCCAGGCCGATCCCGAGAAGGATGAACTCGGCGACAAACACCGGCAGAAGGCGCAAATTTGCTCGACGGCACGAGCAGAAGAACGGAGGTGACGACGAGCTTTATGCGTACGCTGACGCAGCATTCAAAGACGGAGTGGCGGCCACGGCGGCGTGGCATTATGAGAAGACAACGAAAAGCACGGAGCTGCAGCGATGCGGATCTGCGCAGGAAGCGGAAGCCAGAGCCGTACTTGAAGCCATCAAAGACGCGGCTGCGACATCGAGCGACAAATTCCGCACACTGCGCATCTTCACGGACTCCCAGGCCACCGTGAGAGCGCTCAGGACTCAAGTCATGGCACACGGAGCAGTCGGACAAATATTCCGGTTGGCGCAGAACCTGGAACGGCGCGACCTAAATCCGCTCACCATCAGGGTGGAGTGGATACCCGGTCACGCGGGCATCGCCGGCAACGAGAGGGCGCACCGGGCGGCGATCGAAGAGCTTAATCGTATCGACCTTCGACGCCAGGACCCGGGGCCAGCCCCCTCTGTGGAACCGCCACCGCCCGCCTTCAACTTGTACGACCCCGAGGGAACCATCCTCAATATCAAATTAGCATACAAGAAAATTGAGCAGACCAAACTGAACGCCAGAGGCGAGCCCCCCGAAGCGACCATTCCTTCGGGAACTTTCCGACGGCACGAGACAGTCACCCTCCGAAGGCTAAGGGCCCAAGCCGGCATCACGCCAGCCCGCACCCAGCGATGGGAGCGAGCGGCCCGTGAGAGGAAGACGAAACTCGCCAACGCTTCAACGGCAGTAGATCACGATTATAGTCTATTGTCAAAGAAGCAAAGGAAAGAAGAAGAAGCCTGCTCCGAAGGCTGCATCTACTGCAGAAATCGAGACGTCAAGTGTGACGAATGTCATCTGATCTGGCACTGTCCGATTTTTAATGAAGAAAGGACGAAAGCCCTGAACACGCTAGAACAACAACACCGCCCTACGTGCTTCGAAGCCTGGTGTAAACCAGTGGGAGAAAAAGACATGCGTGTCGCGGTCCTGTCCAGTCTGCTCGGATTTCTGAGTGAGACCGGCTTGGACATTCATATCTAGGGGGTCTATACTCCAAGTGGCGGGACCACAGCTATACTATTACTTGTAAATTGCCAATGTCCCGCCTATCCATCCATTTTTAAACTTGCTCCAACAAATTGACTGGTGAAATTTTCACCTATCAATAAACGTCTTCAACAACAACAACAGCAATCTATGCATTCTCCTTGGTGCCTGACTAATTTAGCAATAGGTCTATTGTGGGATTGAAACCACCCGCCTGGCTACGGTCGAGCGGGGCTCGTGGATTGGACGCAAGAACTGCGTAAGCAATCCACTTGGGCTCGTAAGAGTAGATGCCTCGGCGGGCACTCGGATAATGGCTCGTGTCCAACCACTGCGGTGATGAGAATAGTTGAACTCTAACAATGCCTGGAGCTTAGCACTCATTTTCTACTTTACCAACCCCAGCACGTGGCTATGATTAACGTTGGCGGCATAGGATAGGCACCAGGCCATGTAGCCGCTTGTTCTGGCTCCAAGTTGAAGAGATGCACGATGCTCATATTACTCGAATTTATTTTCCGTCTGTCATTGCTTAGAAGGAAAAACTAAGGCAAGTTTAGTCGGTTATTAACGTAAGGAATTGATTCTAAGTAGTATTTGGCGAAAGTAGGAAAGTCGTTTCATGGTTCCTTTGAGGTGCAACCCTACCAGGAATGCCACCTTTAGTTCTTTTTTTAGGCTTTATAACTTTCTCCCTGTGCGCTCTGGAATCATAAAAATAATCTCAAATTCAACAAGAAACTGTTTTTCAACTGTACATCGATGTATCAATGTGACTGATATTTTAATTGTTAGGTTAATTTTCAGCTTTTAATAGACCAAAGTCTCCAATATTAAAAAAAAGGATTTTCAATTTATAACACTTCGATGTCCGCAAAACTTTACGTGAACTGTCGGTTGGATATAGTGAAGTAAAACAAGTAAGCAACAAACTTTGCAAACAATGTATATTTTAAAATAATAAATAAAGTTTAGACTGGTATTATTTCATCGAACTTTAGAAACAGAATCATGTCAAGAGATAAAAATTACAGGTCATAAAATTACGAAGCATCCTTCGATATTATATTTTACAAAACTTACACGTGAAATTTAGTATTCGACTTCACTTTTTTCATTTAATTACGGCAAGTTGCAGTTTCTTATCATGAAATACAGATATCGACATGTGTTCAAGAATATTGTTATGAGCAATTGCTGTCGTGTGCCGCTAGGAACACCACGTGAAACACGTAAAAAGCGCCAGGTGTTAGGATGCATTCCCACTGGCGTTTGAATTGCAACCGTGAAGTGGATCCGCTCGTTTTCATCATCCTCGGCGTGTGAATTTGTATCGCAACTTTGAGCAACCGCGCTTACAACCGCTTTGCGGATGCGGTTGAGTCCCAAGTGCGAATGCGGCGTCAAGCCTGGATGCCCGCAGTGAGCGAGCCGGAGATATCGAGACTAGAGCCAGTAAATGAGCTCCGCTTAGAGTATCGGCACTTCGTTCTCCGACATTGTTGTGGGCGTCGCCATTTTGGCTCGTATGCAGAACAGACGCAACTGCCGATCGCCATGATTCAAAAGTACGACTTCCTCGGCATTAGATTCGGTGGTAGAAGGTAAATTAATATTGCTTTGCTCTGCCGCGAACTGTTTAAACATTTGTGCATGGCGGTACAGCGGTTCCTGTGATTTCAGATCATGCTTCAGATAACTGGCAACCATGATTTTAAGACACAATATGACCAAGTGTCGCTACTGTGAAGCGTAGCTTATTTAGTGGCACTAATCGAGACTAGGATGCCTTCATGTGCGCTTTGCTTAGGGTGAAGGCATCTGGCCATTTTGTCCCACACGTTTATTTTTCGTTTCTGTTCAGAACGCGTGAAAGAGCGTGTCCCTCCACCCGTGTTCGGCGCTGAATGTGCTATAGAGACATTTTGTTTTCGTCAGTTTCTTCGTATTTTCCCCGTGAGCGCGTGCTGTCGGCACCGGGTAAACAAAGGGTGGCATCAAAAAAACAGAAGTACATTGAGCCACCCTGATCAAGACCAGACGCGTCAGGCTGCGGCTGCTCCACATCTGCTTCTGCTCGCGTTTAACTGTACGTCGGTATCCGCAACTTTCACGACCTATAGGGGGCGCACTGGCGACTGTCAAAATAGCTGACATCTGGATGATCATTGTAGAACAGCAGTACAAGGCTGGGAGTGTGACGCGTAAGTAATTCCAGTTTTACATGATGAGGAAAAACAGCTAAGAAAACATGGACTACACTCTTAAAAAAGCCCGTGCCTCTACTTTCGCGCAAAGCACTCGGAGAGCCAATCAGTGCAACTTACTGAGGCAGCTCAGTGAATGATAATGCCGAAACATATGTTTAGACCAAAGAACTCAGACTGCGTTTTTTCGTCTATACATATGTTTCGACATTGTCATTCGCTGAGCGTACGAAGAGGAGCACAGCTATCTCGGTGGCTTATAACTAGCAAAAATATTAAAACAAAACACAAAATAATAAAGCGTATCAGTGTGTCTGTTCCAAACCGCTGGCAGACGAATCTCTATTTGGCGGGTTCGTATACCCGCCGAGGTGCCCGCGATCGGACGGATGCCAATCCGAGCTTTCGGTAGCACGTCAGAAGAATTCCAATTATTAAAAACAACCTAACAATTCTTTTTTTTTTTCGCTTTTTATTTCTTGCTGGGGCGTGTTTGATGGTTTTTGTTCGTTTATCTCATGAAACTTTAAGATCTGAATATTTCTTTTGTATTTTTTTTGGTTCAGAGCGTAACCAACATGGTTGGCGCAATCCAAATAAAATAAGCGCCATAAAAGGGATTCCAACAGTTGCGATTCCGCTACACATGCCAAAACAATAAAATGTTTCTATCAATTGCAGGAATCAGTTTTGAATTCAGACTACTTATTGCCGGAATGCTTTAACTAATTTATATTTCGTTTCACAGCCATCTCGGTGGCTTTTAACTGGAAATGATATAAAACAAAACCCAACATGTTAAAACTCGGTGGCTTTGATTTCAGGCGTTTGCCCCCGGATCTCAATTTCGGCGGTTCGAATACCGGCCCGGGTACCCGCAAAATGTGAGGGAGGCAAATACGAGATTTCGACTGCAAGTTTAAAGATCTCCAGTTGGCCGAAATTAATCCGAGGAGTTTTTGGCTAGGGCGTACCAGATTACCTTCGGTGATTAGGCTTCTAAATCCCTAAGATCTAAATATTTGCTTCACTTTACCTTAGTGCAGAGTGCAGCCAACACTACGGGCTGACAACTCCAACGAAGCAGCCCCAAGAGCGCGACGTCATACAGTCTGTTCTCTTTCTGTGCATGTGCGATCATCGGCTGAACGGGCTAAACTAGGCTAAACGAAAATCACTGGATCCTGGGAAAGTAGCGCCTTTGCCTCCCCTCTCTGCGAGCCGGACACAAACAAATACTAATATACAGACGATCAAAACCTCGCAAGGCGATTGGCTAATCAGGCTATGTTGCCCTGGAAATCGCCATCTCGGTCCATACAAATATTGGAAGCATCCAGATGGTCGTTTTAAACCAGTCGCGCCCAGATAACCATGGGGCATCATCCTATTGGAAGCATTCCTCGCCAGTATAAGCGTGCTTGGCACTGTGTATGCAATAAACTTATCAATCATACCATGGGAATACCAACCGGGGGGAAGGGGGGCAAGGGGGCGCTTGTCCCCCCTCCCCCGGTTGTCAAAGTGTGGGGGGGGGGGGGGGCAAGGCATGTGTTTTGCCCCCCCCCCCCCCATCCTTGAAACAGCCGCATCTGGGCAGGGCACACACTGGCCGACGGCGCCCAAGGAATACCAAGGGCATTGCTCCCCGACCCACGGCGGCATACTTTGAACGCGCGGCGATACAAACCCTAGCAACGGCGCTCACGTCGGATTGGCTGGTTCGCGGAGATAGGCGGTGCCGCCGTCAACATAGGGAGTGGTTACAATGCGAGTTTCCGAAGCGATAGCTATAACTTAGTTGTGAGACGTCTGCCTCATACGTAGCAGACCCGGGTTCTATCCACGGTGTGGGCTTACTTCTGCACCTAGCTGTGTTTGGAGGTGCACCTAGCTGTGTTTGGAGATTTGTGTTCTTCCTTTGTCCCTCTTCTTCCCCTTCTCCAGGGATTATTTTCGTCATTCTTGGCCAGCTCGCTTGCACCTTCGCATTTAATTGCATTATAATCATAACCTTAAATTGCAAGCTTCACCCTTGTTGGTGTTAGACTGGTGGCAGCTTATAAAACCCGTTTGCTCTACTGACGTCCAACCCCTGGTTAGCTCAGTTGGTAGAGGGCTCCACCTGTAATGAAGAGGTCCCGGGTTTGGTAAGCGGACCAGGCGGATTTTTTCGGCTGCACACCAGTCGCCTGCACTCTCAACAAAAGGGTAGTCGTAGGGTACTACATTTGGGGTAGTCCGAAGCCGTCACAGATATTGCTACCCCCCGTTAGTAATACTAACGACCCCATGCGTAGTCACGCGGCATGAAATCAACAGGTAGTCACAGTGAGCACCCCCAAAAGCAACATGGCGGCTGGCAAGTGACAGTGGAGCAATACGAGTAAGGCCTAGCGAGCTGGACTGATTTTTGTTAAAATACGATTTTCAAGTGCGCATGCCCGTTCGCGTCCTTCCGTGCGCACAAAGCTCTCCAAAACGCGCCTCGAAGCACCGGCACCGCACCTAATACGAGTAGGGGCGACGATGTGAGGAGGGGGGGGGGCGCATTCGAGGGGGTTTGTCCGCGATTGCTTTCGCGAGGCCGGCTGCATTTACTTGGCGGCCAGAAAACATTCAAAGAAGGAATCGTATAGCGACAAATAAAATTATGTCTTTATTGAACAGAGAATCTGCTTGCTGCGCTTGCCGCAAGTGATCCGGCGTTTTCGGCTGACAGCGGCGAGGCGAGGTATCACCGATTCAAGCGGCGTCGGTTTCGACCGTTCAAAGCTCCTGCTCACCTGTTAGCATTCGTTATCCACTTTCAAGTACCTGGTGATCCCCACCGCGTCTGTGCACGCACTATTCACCGCACGGAACACCCATTCAACT